CAGGATTGCGCAGAAGTAGAACATTTTTTCCGAATTGTTCCCTGTTCTGATGTAATTTTGTGAGATGCTATTCACTTTTGGAAACTAAAATGCACAAGCTTGCCTATCTGAGATTTTTTTTACACAAGATGCGTCTTATTCTATTGTACGTACACTGTTTGAATTATACAAATTATGTGGAATTTCTCATTCCTCAACATTTCTGATTACTGTCACGAACCCAACCCACAGTTTTTGCAATCACAGATTTGAAGAAACTGACATCATTTTTCATTTTAATAAACAACAAATCACTCATGATGCACATCAAAAGGAAGCCGAATTATTTTGAAGTATTTGCTCTAATATTCCGACGGCAAAGTTTTCGCTCATATAGACATTATCATCCGGTTTAAGTAGGCCTTTGATTATTTAGCAGTGGGGATTTTTTATTTTCATGTCAGCACATACTTGGACTTGGAAAGAAACGGAACCTCGGTATAAACTGTCTCATCCGATGGACCATTGTCGCCTCGCTTTACAGGGAATTTGAGACCATGAGATACTGATCGGCTCCTTAGTCATCATGCGGAAGACAAAAGGAATATGTATATCGCATATGTTTAAAATAAAGATTCAATCCATTATGAATACGAATTCACTTCAATTAACATCACTACTAACACTTTCTTTGTATATTCCCCTCTACTTTTTCAGAGTTTTGTAAGTTATGAAGACGGAGCTTTATAAACAGACGAGGCCCGTAATTTTTTTACAAAGAGGTGTCTAAATAAGGGAGCTGATTATTTTTTAAAGTCCAAGGTCAAACAGAACTGACATGTAGATGATGTGACGGGTTTCCTATATTTCGTTAAGATATAAAACGGCAGTCATCTGGACGCAGAGTCGATCATTTTTTGTAAGAGAAAGGTCAAGACATGTAAGTCTGTTTCTCACCGATGACTTTTAACCTGTTGTATAACACCGAAATAAAATTTACCGGTTTCATTTTCAATATACATCTTATTCAATTCAATCTTCAGGAGTTTGACAATATATTGCATACACCTTTTAATTTACAAAAAAACATGTATACGTGGATTGTCCGTAAATTCCGTAGGCAACCTTAAAAATACAGTTTTGTAAATTAAAAAAAATTATAAGATTTGAGATTACATAGATTCAGATGTAATTAAACAACATCGTTTATTCAATAGTTGAAAATAGTTGAAAATATAGATATTGTAGAATTAGGTTAAAAAGACTGGCTATATATTTATAAAAGTATGTCATTTTTTATGGATTTCCGGAATTCTGAATACTCTAAATTACTGTATCCTGCAATTTTAAGTAGACTGGTTGTCTTGGATTGTTTTGAAGCAGGCTCAATTGTTTTGCAGTTAAGGGGATATTTTTGATTGTTTATATACCTTCCTAAATTTTTCACTCATACTAAGATGTTACCACTTGCCGATTAACATTGGGCACGGAAACTCAATTATACCGTCTCATTAGATACACTGATATCTCCACATCAGATAGGGAAAATGAAACTGTGGCATAATGCGCCATAAGAGCAACACTTAATATGTAAGATATAAGGTTATAGCAAATGAACTCAATGGGCATTTTTCATTAACTTCACTATGTACACCTTATTCATCACGTTCATTCAATCATCACTTTTCAGATGTAGATAAGTAGCTTCAGAGGCAGCAGTAAATTAACCAAGAGGAGCCAGGTTGACAATGTTTAATTTGCACACGGAAACACATTTTTAAATTACAGTTGTATACTAGTATCATACTACATGTGGTTTTTGAGACGAAGCTGAAAATGTCAAAAAGGTTTTGACAACGACGCCAACGACAACAATAACCACGAAGACGACAGACAGCGAACAAATTTTGATAAGAAAACCTCACTTCAGCCTTTGATTTTTACACAAATTTCTTGATGATAAAGAATAAACACTCTCCTTATCAAATTATGAAATGAATGAACTTTTAAACGATATACATGTGTGTGCATTGCGTGAACCATTTCAACACAAAGTTGAATACATTTTTCAAGGCGTATTTTGTTTAAAGAATGTACACATATATACATGTACCTCTCTGTAAAATTATGATGCACTAATATATATTCACGCCGAACAAATAATTCCTTAATAAAATCTGCATTCAATTTGAATAAAGTTAGAAAAGAAATATTCCGATATTTTCTTCTTTGTGCTTCATTAGTTCAACATTCCTTTATGATTTGATTGTTTACTGAAAGAAGACTGAATCAGATTTGGGATCTTTGTTTAATTTTTAAAATTGCAAACGTGAATACACATTATTACTTCCCTGTCACACATAATTAATTATCCGAATTTGCGTAAATTATATATATAATCAATATAATTCTTTAAAATTATAATCCTCTCGGAAAATCTTTTGATCTACATGATCTTTATCCAGTTCATCCATTTCAAGCATTGCAACTAATTTAGATATCTCTGAGAATGAGAAGAAACTAAACACTCTTTGCACGATAATATATCGCAGTATGATATATCCTTGCAGGCATTGCTAAAGCAAATATAGGAAGCATTAAGGGGGATGTACAAGCCATATTGGATCTAGTCTGGTGTAAACTAAGAAATACCAAGAATGCGCTTAATACTCTACTAAACTAGCTCAAAGTTACTCAAAGTGCTAATGCACTAATTACCTACTGTTAGAGACCAAAATTAGTAAACAATTAAGTTTATTTTGTCTTAATTAGAAGAAAATTAATCATGTTAGAACTGCGCAGCTACAGCATTCATGAGATGAAAAATGCATTGAAAATGGAGTTAGTTTGATTCATTGATAATATGGCTACAACCATTTGTTTCGTTTTTTTCTTGTCATTATCCATAATTCTTGAAAATTTGATTTTTTATATGGGTGTCTTCCTGAGGCCATGTGTTTATTTCGTCCGCCATTCCTCTGTCACACAGAGTTCGAATAACAATGATTTTAGAATAAATGCGACCATAATAACACCAAGACAAGAAATTACTAAGTAATAATCATTAGGTTATATTACTTACTACTTTTATTTGTTGCATCGCATCGTCTGATTAATGAAAAAACGCGATTTTAACCTCACTCCAGCAAATCGGGAAAAACTGTTCTGTTTACAACTCGAAATTCCTCGTTAATATTATTCCACTAAGCACATGGTTGGCATGTGCATATATCTGCTGTGGATAAATCCGTTTATTACCATGATTATATTTAATTTTTATGGAACAAGTCTTGATAATTTGTTGGTTTCTTTAAAACTCAAGAAAAAAAGATAAAAATGTCCTAAACATATGTGTTTACGGTGGGTCTTTTTTCTGTGGCGATAGAAGTTATTTTCAAATGGGGCACTGCAAGTAGGATGCTTAGCATTTAATTTGAAAATGTTAAACAATATGCAGTGCATGAAAAATAAATTGTAATTACATGTCTTACATTCGAAAAGTTGGTACATATGTCTATTTTGTTTATAAGTTAGATAGAAAAAATAGGCAGTTATAGGATTTCCTTCAGGCACCTCACATAAATAGCTAGAATGTTTGCAATGACCCACACATTGTATGGGGTCATGTTTGGACACAAAAACGCATCATGTCTCATTATGTTGACAACGTTGTAAGCTCTCGCTCATTGAACATACGAAGCTTGATAAAATATAATGAGTTGTTTCTATGAAATTTAAAAGCGAGCACAATGTTTGCAATGAAAGGTCCATTGCATATGTTATGTCTATCATCGCAAAAAAGTGAGTGCTAACCCAACCCCCCAACCCCCACCCACCCCCCCCCCCCTCCCCCGAAAATCCTTTGTTTGTTTTTCAAAATAGTATCAAAGATTAAAAAAATTGCATTACTAAGTATGTGATGGAACATGTACTAGCCTTATAATACCACTTGTTATAAAAATATTTGGTTGCCCTCTCTCCCGATCTACTGCCTAGAAATGGCCCGACTCATTTTTTAACATTCCATTACACGATATTTTTTTCTTTTTCTTCCGTAAACAATTCTGTTTAAATTTTAAGGATTTTTTTCTCACCTATAAATACGGACCCAATAATTTTTCCCTGAGTTGGGAGGACCACCAAACATCATTTTAAAGATGTTCATAGGTTGATTTTTTCTCTTTACTTTGTACAATTGTAATTTTGAAAATATGGGCAAATAGAAAACAAAAATTATGTTCAAACTAAATAAATTACTTCAAGCCACACTATAACACCTTTCCTCTTTTAAAAGTGTTCATATTATTTGAAATATTTTGCAACTGTAATTCTCTTCTACATTTAAAGATTGTTATGCCCCTCCATATTAAGAAGAGGTCTGGAAAACAAGATTCTGTGCTAAAAATAGACCACGTGCTGCTATCCATGAACTACTTTCATGGTTCTTTACACTCTTTTTGAAGACAATGGTACCTTGTTTTGAACTTGAAATTATCATATAAAAGTGCAAAATTTAGACATTTTCTCAACAAATGGTTGTAGAGAGAACATTAATGCACAGTTTGCATATTTTTTTGGATTTTTTAAGGCTCTGCTGAATTCTGTAGCTGCGCAGTTCTAAGGAGCATATCAAAAGCATTTTTCTGCAAAAGTATAGATTATATATGCACAACATGCATTCGGTTATGCATATTTATTGTATCTTTATCAAAAAGACTTAAAATTTGATCAAAATATAATGTATTTTAGCCATTTGAAGAAATGTTTACATTTTGCTCTCACTGCACTAAAAGTGGCCGTACATCCCCCTTAATCTTATTAGGCACTTTACACAACTAACCTGATTTTTCTAAAATTTCCTTCTTAACATAGTAGTATAGTTTATGTCTATATCCACTGAGAGCAATATGTCAATTACCGAAAATCCCGCAGGTTGTATATCCTTTGGGGGATCACGTGACTGTGAATTTTTGTTTGTTACGTCACAGAACTAAATCGACTTTAAAAATAGGTCACAAGCTCAGCGAAACAACAAGCCATCATATAACATGTTACATGTTAAAGAAAGGATAAACATAATTTCTGGAACCTATATCAACGAAAACAACAACTTTGGATGTCCTAAGTGATACTTCAAATTTGTAACATATGTTTCAGGAGTGCTTACACAGGATATTTTGTCGCGTTTAAATTTGTTCTATCTAATTTTTTTTGGAGTAATCTATCTATTCAGCTTGTGTGATTTGGATCTTTATATTGGACAAGGGATAGCAATTTTAAAAGCAGGTACTATACTTCTATCAGTTACAAATGGGAGATCAAGACAAATTCATGTTCTGCCGATTTATTGTGGAGTTCATTATTTGGATAAGGTACATGTAGGCTAAGATTTTAAAAAATTGTTTGTCGATGATAATACGTCAGGCAACACTTATCTTTATAAACTGACATATCACATGTGTAATGAGTCAGGTTTCCAATACTCCTTTATTTCCTATTATTCTTTAATGGAGCATGGAAGAGTAACGGACTCTTATCGGTGCTTTTTGAATAGAGCTGATTTATCTGTTTTGTCAATAATTTACCTGGTAGTAATTGAAGGGTTTTAAACATTTGCATCTGTAGCATACATATCATTTCCATAAATTACAGGAACAACTTCGTGATATTTTTTTTGTTTCATTGCTTAAGTGTTTTATTCACCAATACACAAGAAAACTATTGTGATTTATTTTCCCTTCAAAATCAACAAGTTAAATTCCTTAATTTCATGTTGATAGGAATACTGAATATGCAAAAAGCAGATGGATCTCGTCAAGAATTAGTTCAGAACAAAAGTGATATTGCCTTAGCACTTGAAGGCACAACATTACAATACAATTCCAATTACTGCACCTTACAGTAATTCACTACATAAAACAATTTATTTATCTGTTAAATCTCGTAAGTGAAAGTCATGATTCTGTATCCTAGGCCTGCCTTTTTTTCATTTTCTGTTCCATGAAATATACAAGCTTAAAAATTAATCATTATCTAGTATAATAAAGCACCCCTGATTGACAAAATCGGATTATGTTCTTGTAGTCTAAAGGTAAAAGCTTTTTTCTACTGAGTTACCACCCTTTCCATGAAAATGAAATCAAACAGAAATTACATTTGCGCATTGTACTAAAATCAGAACAGTTTTAACCATGCAGATGGTCAACCTAGACATAATATGGCGATATTAAGAGAGAAAACCGGGGTGGATTTATAAAATCATTAATTCTATAAAATAAGTATGAAAAAACTACTGAAAATGCTGGCGATATTTATCCTTTGGGATTTACGCCTGTAAACGTTTATGATATTTTGGGTTTTACGTCACGTAAGAAAATCAACTTCAAAATTAGGTCACACGGTTCTAAGGAAACAGCAAACCATTAAATAAAGTGCAAAGTGAGGATAACACAATTTAGAAAACTGTAAGTTCTCGAACTTAAAACAATGAAAATGCAAATTCTGATTTCTCATCTGATACCTTTAAACATAATTTTATTACAAACGATAATATTAATACACTTTTAAATGAGTTCAATGTAATTAGGTCGCAGAGTGATTTTTCTTTCACCTTGTGTGATTTAGCTCTTTATAACAAAGCAATACAAAGACATGTACAATATTATCAATTCTATAAGCAGCTACTACAACCTTATCATTTACAACTGGGAGATCCAGACAGTTTGGATATTAAATGTTCTGAAGATTATTAAGACAAGGTAAAGCTAAGATTTTTTTTTAAAAGTTTGTATGTCATTTAATTTTTTCTATAAAAAGACTTCAAGGAACCCTCATCTTTGTAATCTGACATGTACGTTATGTGTCAGCTTTCCAATATTTCATAGATAAGATAATTATAAATTTGTAAAATAAAGTCATCTTGAGGTAGAGTTCAATATGTTTATTAGGAAAAAGGCAACGGTTTTGCTGATGTCATGGTTTGGAACTGTTCATTTGATATTCATTTGGTATTATCACTTCACTATTTTCAGAACTCTGACCGGACGTACCTGTGCTTATTAAATAGATCTTTCTTATCTGTTTTGTCAATCATGAAGTAATTGAAGATCTCTATCATTCATAAACTGATCAGTGTTCATTACCTTATTTACAGAAACAGTTGTGTTTACTACAGTAAACTAGATTCACTTTAAAGATCAACAAGCCTAATTTCTTAATTTCACGTTGAAAGGAATACTGGATTTGCAAATAGCTGATGGATCTTTTCAAGCATAAGTACAGAACATGTACAGAACATGACGTACAACACAACAATTAGTTTCCAATAACTGCACCTTACAATAATCCGCTAAACATACAATTGAATTATCTGTTGAGCCTTAGCTAAAGTACTTCTCCTCTACCCTGTTATTTACATTAAATACATGTATTCCATACTGATTGGAGTAACTGCCCTTAACATGAATAATAGAATCAAACAGACATTGCATTTGCTCTTTGTTCTACACAGAACAGCTATTTTCATGCAGATGACCAGCCTTAGTAATATGGCTATCTTGAAGAAGGAGTATATTTATAAAATCATTAAATCTAAGTAAAGAATATAATCTTTACCAGAGAAAAAAGAAAATAGCTTTAAACTTCCTTTTTTAACGCATTTAAAATCTGCTATGTTTATTGGGGAAAATATTTTAAATAGTTGGAAAAAAACAAAATCTCAAAAGATCTATTTTTTGAGTAAAGATTAAATGGCAGAAATGATACACAATAAATTTTCTAGAGGTTAATTTCCACTCAATTTGGATAATTAAATTGATTTGCTTTAAAATCTGCATTTGGTATTCAGAATAATTTTAGATGTTGAGCCACAAATTACAAAGGATTGATACTTGGAATGAAATTGCACAGAATTGATACTGGAATGCCAAAAGGATCATGCATGAAAAGAAGTTAAATGGGAAGAATCATTACATACATTTTTAATCATTGACAATTTGTATATTTACAGAGAAGCCGATATTACAAGGGCTTCCTAGGTCTGACAGAGACTATAGTGTGTAAGGTGTGCTGTGACAAGGATGTGGCCGCCGCCTTCCTGCCCTGTGGTCACCTGGTCTGCTGTCTGGACTGTGCCCCCGCGATGAGGAGGTGCCCCTCTGTACAGAACTCATCAAGGGCACAGTCAAAACCTACTTTGCATAAATGGGTCTACAGGTAGGTTTTCTGCAGATACATTAAAAACTGTTTTTACTACAGAACTTTAAAGCTGTTTTAGAAGGTAAAGTGTTGTAAGGTACCAAGTATGTTATTTGAAAGAAGTAACAGACAATGAGTGATCAATATATATGTTTTAGCTCTATTTCTCAAAGACCAAATGTATAAAGCTCATAAATTTGTCTTAAATCGGTACCTTCAGATTAAAAGAAGAGGACATTTAACACGATGATGACAAGGCTCTCAAGGAACTTCGGATAATTTGCATAAATAAATTTTTATTTACACACTTGACTGTCTCTTCGTTAAACTTGCTTCTTTGTTTAGGAAAGATGTGAATAAGATAACAAGGAAGTTGATATTATTGTTTTTATTTATTTCAGATCTATAGAAAACACAAGGGTGAAAATTCATTTTAGGAATGTGGATATATTACTTTTTGGGGAAATTATGATTTTCATCAGAGGTCACAGGAAGGGCAGAAAGTGAGTCAGTTTTATAATTTTCGTATTTGTACGCATTTTATAGAATATTTTGTTTACGACATCATAAAGCACAAGATTGACAATCTACCGAATTTGTATATTTCATAAAATAGTATCAGATGCATCTTGTGTATAAAAATCTCAGATAGGCAAGCTTGTGCTCTTTGTTTCTCAGAGTGAAAAGCATCTCAAAAGTTTCAAAATAACACCAGAATTGAAAATCATTCGGAAAAATGTCCTATTTGTGAACACTCTTTCGCCCTTCTTGTACGCTTCAAATGGATAAAAGAATTCAATCTCAGTCTCACTTGTCCGCTTTATATTCCTTTGGAAAAAGTGAGACTGAGATTAAAAGTGAGCTCGTCTACGTTTTATGTCCCCGAGGGCAAATATCCATAAATCTTTTTAAAACGACAAATTTTCGTAACTGCAGAACTTAAAACAATTTCCTAAATAAACACGTATTTATATGAGATAACAATAAAAACTTGGGAAACATATACGATATTTAACTGTAATTCATTTCAATCATTCTCGATGAGAAACATTTTCTTGGAAAACATGTACGATATTTACCTGTAATTCATTTCACTCATTCTCAATGAGAAACATTTTCTTGGAAAACATGTACGATATTTACCTGTAATTCATTTCACTCATTCTCGATGAGAAACATTTTCTTGGAAAACTGTAATTCATTTCAATCATTCTCGATGAGAAACATTTTCTTGGAAAACATGTACGATATTTACCTGTAATTCATTTCACTCATTCTCAATGAGAAACATTTTCTTGGAAAACATGTACGATATTTACCTGTAATTCATTTCAATCACTCTCGATGAGAAACATTTTCTTGGAAAACATGTACGATATTTACCTGTAATTCATTTCACTCATTCTCAATGAGAAACATTTTCTTGGAAAACATGTACGATATTTACCTGTAATTCATTTCACTCATTCTCAATGAGAAACATGTTGACTCATTTCTTTACATTCAATTCACTCCGTTCAAAGATTTAACATTGTTTCGAAAACAAAGTATTATTTGGGCCGCCTACGAAGAGATCATGTATCTTATTTACATTTCAATTCACCCAAGTATTTTTATGTGGCGTTATCAAAAATACACGTGCCAGGAACATGACGTATGGGTTGATATGCAAAAAAAAAAATTGAAAGAAATGATCAGCAAAATAAGTTATACCTAACATAAAGTGAGGGTAATTTCAGAGAACAGGATTATTAAACATAATGATTGTCCTCCCTAACCCAAATTTAGTATTGGAACATGTACAGATGACCTGTCATTGGACTGAGTTTTTTTCTTAGAATTATTAACATATCACTCATATGCATTAATTGTAATTAAATTGAAGTTTTCGTATGGAGTGGGAGTCTGAAGCAGACATTAATGTGGTGTATTTGTTGTTTAACCTCTTTCCCGAGAATTTTTCACTTATATTGAGACAACATACACACAAAACTAAGTAATGGAGGACGGCAAATTTGAATTTTATGGTCTGCACATTAGTTCAACTCCAAATGTTGGAGATAATAGATTATTCAGCAAAGCTTATGATGCAAGATCAGTCCATATTTGTTAACTACTGTCAGTTGTGTAAATTGTGAAACAAGTGTTTTATGTGCCATTTAATGCATAATTAAGTATATCAAGTCAATGCCTTACAATATTTTAAAGTCAATAGTCATTTTTACAAAAACACAATTAAGGGGTATTTTTCGACTCATATATTAATTTTATGTATAATAGCCAATGCGAATTTCATTTTAGTAAAAAAAATACTTGTGGAACTTCTCATTCCTCAACATTTCTCATTACTCTCACGAACCCAACTGACAGTTATTGCACTATCACAGCATTTCAAGAAACTGACATCACAGCATTTTAATAAACAACAAATCAATCATAGGTATGTTGCACTTTGCCACTAAAGTGACTCTATAATTATTGAAAATACGTGTAATTAATTATGCAATAGTTGGTAGTCAAATCCGTAACACTACTACTATATATTACATGAACATGTATTATCTGTCTCAAAAGAATTCATCAAAAGGAAGCCGAATCATTTTGAAGTATTTGCTCTTCTGTTTTGACGGCAAAGTTTTCGCTCATAGAAAGACATTATCATCCCGTTTAAGGCGGCCTTTGATTATTCAGCAGTGGGGATTTTTTATATACATGTCAGCAAACCCTACTGCGAAAGAAATGGAACTACAGAATAAACCTTCTCATCCGATAGACCTTTACAGATAGAATTTACAGGGAATTTAAGACCAGAAGATACTGATCAGCCCCTTAGTCATCATGTGGAGACAAAAGGAATATGTGTATCGCATATGTTTAAATAAAGATTCACTCCATAATGTAGATACATGTAAGAATTCACTCCAACTAACATAACTACACTTTCTTTGTATTCCCCTCCACTTTTTCAGAGTTTTGTGGATAAGATGGAGCTTTATAAACAGCTGCAATCTTTTTTATTTTTTACAAAGAGGTGTCTGATTGATGGTGTTGATTTTTTAAAGGTACATGTAGAGAAACACATGAATTTAAATAAATCAATATCACATTACATGTAACAAGGCTAAATAACTAAAAACATATAGAGTTATAATAAAAGAAAACTTACCTATTGTAGCGTTCTTCATACAAATGTGAAATTAAAGAGAGATTCTTGGACCAGTTAATAACAAACACATTTTAATCGAACTTTCCTTTTTTAAACCCGAACAAGTTGCATTATATATACATTTAGGTACTTTACTACCGTTCAATAATTGTTTTATACTAATGAGAATTAGCTATAGAATGCAGTTAAAAAGAAATTTCACAAGAGATTTCCCCAAGAGTTTCATATAGCACAACCTGCAATTACGTTTTCGCTAAATGAGTTCTGATTAGATTTGCGATCGTCATCATTTTCGAATCGCAGATAAAAGGCAAAATATTTCTGCATATAGGATGTTTTCAATGTTTCAGACTTCTGTATCCCCCCGATTATACGTAAACTTTAAATCGATCATTATATTCAAACTTTAAATAATACACTTTAATTAAATTAATAAAAAAAAACATCCCCTTACAAAATCTGCGACCTAAATATGTTACCAACTAACCGAAATTATTGATATAACTCAACTTATTCAGATCTTTCTATAAGTATAGTTTACCAGCCTCCGACGATAGAGTCATCCATTACCAAGAGAGAGAGAGAGAGAGAGAGAGAGAGAGAGAGAGAGAGAGAGAGAGAGAGAGAGACAGAGAGACAGAGAGACAGAGAGAGAGAGAGGGAGAGAAAGAGACAGAGAGAGAGAGAGATCCTAATTAACACAATAATCTTGATAATTTTTTTATGTTTTGGTGTAATGTAGGCAGGTATTCTAACCAACTAACCTTTTTCTAAAATTTCCTTCTAATTCTGTCACTATCTGCTGCACGTAACACTGCTTTTTTTACCTGTATATAAATATTTCTTTGAGGGTCACCTGACTAAATATTTTGAATGGAATAACTGAACTATATCGACTTCCACAATATGTCCCGAAGTTAAAAAAAAAATCAAACAAGTTATCAAATATATTAAATGTAAACACAATTCAATAAACAGTATCCCTTAATCTCCTTACTGAGACTTCTAAACAAAGTTAATACAAGTTACTAATAAAGGTTATTTTGTCACATTTTGTCACATTTAAGATTGCTTCATCTAACTAGGTCGCGGAGTGTTTTCAGCTTGTGTTAATTGGCTCTAGTTGAAACAACATGAACAAGGAAGGGATTTATAACAAGGAAGGACAAGGGGATATAGCAGTACTAGAAGCAGGTATTACAGATCCACTACTATAAGATCAAGACAGTTTGAAATTCAAGTTCTAAGGATTTGTTTTGGAGTTCATTGTTTTTAAGATACAGTTAAGAATCTTTTTTAAAAATTTGTTTGAGGTGAATTATGTCTGCTCTTTAACTATAATCTGAAAATAGGTCTCCTATATCATTTATGTATTGTTGTTAAGATTTAAAATAACGGTCATCTTCAGATAAAGTTTTATAAATGCATAAGAAAAAGAACAGCAGCCTTGCTAATGCCATTCTTAAAGTTAGGAAGTTTACTTTCTTTTGGATATGATCATATGTTAACAGTGTCTTTTTCTGAATAATTGATTAAATTTTGAGGATGCCTTTTTAAAGAGAATCGATTTTTGACATGCCATTATTGAAGTGAGGATCGCGAATTGGGCAGATTTGTCTGATTTGTCAATGATTAAGTGATTATACATTTTTTACCATCTGTATTAGTACAGTGCAGGGAAATAATTTTGTTACAGCATCAATGCTGATTTTGGTGCTTCCTATGCTTGCTGATTTTGATGCTTCCTTTGCTTGCTGATTTTGATGCTAGTTATCATTATCCTGATCCTGGTTTGATCCTTATCCTGATGCTGGTTTGAAACTAGGTCAGTGCTAGTAATGCTACCGGATGTAGGATTATCCTGCCGGAAGTGGATAATTCAAAAACAGCATCGCTATTTTAAGCCATTAAAAATAATTTTTGGGGTAATTTTTATTTGTAATTTGTATTAAATGACTTTCCTTTATCTGTTTTCACTTTGGTCAATGCTAGTTCTATCCTTTGCTTGCTGATGCTGATCCAAGTAATGCTGTTTTTTTTAATGCTGATGCTGATGCTAGTTCTATCCTTATCCTACTTATGCTGATCCTGATGCTGGTTTATGTAACAAAATTAGTTCCCTGCACTGTAGCATATAAAGGCTAAATAGTGTTCATTTCCATATTTACAAAACAACTTTGTTTTTCTCTCTTATCGGTAAGTATAACATCCCTTAAAACAAAACAAAAGAATACTGTTGTAAACTGGATTCCCTTTAACGATCAATAAACATAATTGTTCATTTCCTTGTTTTTAAGAATACTGGATTTGTAAATAGCAGATGGATCTTCTCAAGAAGAAAAGTGATGGTGCTTCAACTTTGGAAGAAACAGCAGAAAAATAAGTTTCCTCTTAATTCATCCTACAAATATCCCATACTATAACAATTAACTTATCTGTTAAAACTAAATTAAACTCATACTTCTCTGTTCTGTAATTTCATTATATTCTGTTAAATCAATTTTCACAAGCAAACATGTTTCTGATTATCATACTTGATTGACAAAGAGGGAATTCTTTTATTGTAGTCTGAAGGTGTTAATTTTTTTTACTCTGGACAGTTCATACAATTATTACCCTTAACATAAACAACAATGAATTAAAAGAAAAAAAAATAGTTTTGTTCTTTGTACTAAAATCAGAACAGATTTTTATCCTGCAGATGACCAGCCTATATAATATTGCTATATTAAGAAAAAAACCCAGAGTATGTTTAGGAATTTCTTATTTCTCAGTAAAGAATACAATCCTTACCAGAAAGAAACATGGAGAATTTGTAAAACTTTCTTAAAACATTCAATGTTTACTGAGGTTATACACAGTATGGGTTAAAATACCTTAAAGTTTGGGGAAAATGGAAAAGGAACTTATCAAATATAATCTCACAAAATTTGAACTATTTCGTAAAGATTCTATAAAAGTTTAGAATATTAACAGAGCTGATCAAAAGAACAGTCAAAACCTAATTTGCTGAAGTAGCCCTATAATTGAGTTTTTGCGGATTTATTTGCTTTGTTATGACAGGATAATAAACTTGTTTTCATATCTTGATGTTAAAAATGTTAAAAGCTTCGAAGTTTGCAATTTACAAGGGGCAAAATGATTAAAATATTGTGTGTGTTTTTCCTTATTTGTCGAAGACCAAACGTAAAATTCATACATATTAGTTCTTTAATCGATAACTGTTAATTTTCCACCTCGTCCCTCTATTAACCCCCCACCCCCACCCCCACCCCCCCAAAAATAAACTTTTATCATTTTCATTTTCAATTCACATTTTATTCAATGCAGTCATCAGGAGTTTGACTAAATACATGCTTAGGTACATGCATACTCTTGTAAAATTAACCATAAATGCCTAGGTTGTCCGTACGTTTCGTATACAACCTATATTAAACGGTCTTGGTTTTGTAAAAAATAATTATGTTATTAAGACTAAACCTGTATTGTGTATGAGACAATGTACCCATATTTTGAACCTGATAAACGAAAAGTCCAGTATTTTTAATCAGGGTAGTATTTTTTCTCCGTCAAATTTACAATTTTAGTTACTAGTAATTATGATTATTGTCCGAATAAATGCACTTTGAATTTTACATTTAAGTCTATGGGTAGTGCATGTAAAATAAAATATTCTGATAAATAAATTTCAACCAAATCTCTTGGTGAAAATATGCATAAAATCTCTCTTTATTAAATTATGATGAAAAATAGGCGTCGGAAGCCAATTGAAAGTGGTGGGGGCGGGGGGTATACAAACAAGAAAAGTGCCTATATTATGTGTATATTTGCAAAAAGTGGGTGAAAAGGCTAAGCTCCCCTAGCCCATCCCCCAGTCCCCAGGTTTTGACGCCTATGTAAAATGAGATTTAAACTGTGTATGTATATCGTGTGAACCATTTCAAAATTAAATTGAATACATTTTTAAGGTGTATTTTGTTTAAAAAATGAACATGTATGTCCTACTTATCTGTACCATCATGATGCGTTAATTAATATGTTCAAATTGAAAACAAAATCCTTGTTTAAACTCGTGTCCAATACCTGTAGTTAAAAAGAAATCCTTCGAGATATTCTTTTGTATGCTTCATTAGTTCAACATACCATAATGATTTGACTATTTAATGAAAGGGGACTGAAACAGATTTTTAGATCTTTTTAATTTTCTTAATCAGAAACACTAACATATAGGATAATTGTCCAGTCACACACTTCTAAATATCCGATTTTGCTTAAATTATTTATAATTATTCTACCTAATTTTTAAGAATTGTAATCCTCTCAGAAAATCTGTTGATTTGCATGATCTGTAACCAGCTTTTCCAAGTTATTTCATGCAACGCATCTAATTTACACACCTCTAAGAAGGAAAAAAACTTAACACTCTTTGTACGATCATATGTCTAGAATTAGGCATACTCTAAAACCTGGCCTGGCCCCTTTGGCCTGGCCTGGCCTCTAAGTTGGCCTGGCCTCTATTTTGGCCTCTAATTTGGCTTCAAACCAAATTTTGGCCTGGCCTCCAAAGTTGGCCTGGCCTCAAATTTGGCCTCTGTAAAAATTTTTGGCCTCAATTTTGGCCTCACTCAAAAATAATTTCTTTTTCAGAATTTGATTGATTTTATTGATTTTTTATTGATTTCATTTTTTTCACAGATTAAGCAGGTTATTAATATATTTCTGTTGATATGTAAAGGTGAACATTAAAAATAATCATGTACTACCACCAATATGATTTATTTTATTGATTATCAATTGATCAGTGTACAATTATTTTATTATTTACAGGTATTTCATACAGACACGCTACCGATACTCTTGCTTATAATTATTTAGAAAAAAAAGTATCAGAGTTTATTTTGTGTTTTCAAAATTGTGAACATTGAAAAAAAAATCTCTAGTAATAATTCATGTGAAATGTCATTAATAGCTTTGAAAATTCCCACTTGTTAAGTAGATGAATCATCATCTTTCACACACTGTGGAGTGTTGTGTGTGTTACTGTTATGCCTGCATCATCTGTGTGATATATGAATACAGGCACCTAAGATTTTTTTTCAAATAAATATACCAAGACAGATACCAAAATATTTATATTATACTGATTTGATTACTCTGTTAAAAATTCATGTTCACTTTAATCTAAGAACAGTTGGTATTTAAAAAGAAATTAAGATAAATAACTTTATCAGATAATTTATAACTTTCTGTTCCTGTGCCGTAACACTGTAATTGGATATCAAATGACAAAAAAGTCTGCAGCACGGTTCTTGACAGGGAGTTTAAAGGTTGAAGTTAATCAGTAATGACATGTATATGTGCATAGGCTGTTAAGCCACTCATGATTTATAAAGAATTTCCTGCTACAACTTTCACTACCTACAATTATCAAAACAAAAGTTGAGTTTGATGATAGTTTATTAACATTTGTGCTGTAAAACAATTGCATCCTATCCACCAGACCATTAGAACCCTATCATATAAAATGTGGTCAATTACTTGCATATCATAGTATTGACTCTTTTTTCTATCAGTTTGTAAAAGTAGTCAACATCATCAAATAGATTTTTTTTTTAATTCTAAATTTTTAAAAGACAGTTTAAAAAAAACTTGTATGGAACAAGTAATACTTAAAATGCAAATTTAAAATTCTTTTTAGTTCTTAGTAATTACTACTCATTTGCATCTCTTTGTTGTCTTGATAATTTAATTGTGATGTTTCTAAATGTTTTACTCTGTGAAAATTATCATTCCTACCATGGAAATTAAAAAAAATAAAGGCACATTTAATAAATCATTTAGAGAGTGTCTTATTGAAAGTAAAATTTTATGCTCTGTGTTGTAGTCTTCAGAATTGCAACAGATCAATTGATAATCAATAAAAATAAATCAGATTTGTAGTAGTGTATAGTTAATTTAATTTTCACATTTACATATCAACAGAAATATATTATTTACCTCCTTAATCTGTGAAAAAATTAAACCAATAAAAAACCAATAAAATCAATCAAACTCTGAAAAAGAAATCATTTTTGAGTGAGGCCAAAAATATTTTACAGAGGCCAAATTTGAGGCCAGGCCAACTTTGGAGGCCAGGCGAAAATTTGGTTTGAAGCCAAATTAGAGGCCAAAATAGAGGCCAGACCAACTTAGAGGCCAGGCCAGGTTTTAGAGTATGCCCTAGAATTATATCACATCCTTGCAAGGATTGCTAAATCAATTGGAAGCATCAATCATAGGTACTCACTCGAACTCGACTAACCTTTTTTCCCCTGATATTTCCCTCTTCCCTCTCAGTCTGCCCATGGTATTTCTAAGTCATGCAGCTTATATATATATCTATTGAGGGTCACGTGACAATAAATGAAAATCCTATTTTTATCGTTGTATCGTCACATAATAAAATCGACTTCCAAAAATAGGTCACAGAGTTAAAACGAAACAAAAAAGCCAGAATAAATTAAATAACATGTAAAGTGAGGATAACACAATCTAGAAAACAGTTTTCTTGAACCTCAAACATCGAAAACCCAACTTTTTGATTTTTCACATGATTCTTTTAAAAACATAATTTCAAGGAGTTATTACAAGAGGTATTTTGACACTTGAAAATGTGTTCAATTTAAATAAAGAGTTCGCAGGGTGATTTTTGCTTTTCAAATTGTGTGACTTGGCTTTATATAACAAAGTTGTTGAAAGACAAGGGATAGGAATTCAAGTAGCAGGTACTACAACATTATCAGTTACAAATGGGAGATCAAGACAGTGAGGAAACTTATGTTCTGAAGATTTGTTGTAGGGTTTACTATTTGGAAAAAGCACATTTGAATGTCAATGAATTATTTCTATAACAACCTTGATCATTATAATCTGTTTTATGTCAGCTTTCCAATATTTCATTGCTAAGATACATGCATGAAATGACAGTCATCTTAATATAAAGTTATAATAATAATATATTTATGAAGAATGAACAACAGCCTTTCTAATGTCATTCTTAAATTTTGAAGTTTTCTTTTGACATATGATATCAATGCACTATTTCTATTTTCAACTGCTTTTTATTTGGTAGAGAAACGGATGTTGACCTGTACTTACTAGGGTAGGAGTTGGGTGGGCAGATTTATCTGTTTTTTTTTATATCTGCATCTGTAGCATACATACATGTACGCTAATCAGTATTCATTTTCATATTTAAAAGTACAATTTTGTATTTTTTGTTTTGTTGCTAAGTGTTACATTCCCCAAAACAAAAAAATACTATAGTAAACTATAATACCTTTAAAGATGAATAAGCATAATTGCTTAATTTCATGTTGATAGGAATACACAATTTGCAAACTGCAGATGGTTTAATTTAAGCATCAGTACAGAACATGAGGATGGTGACAGTCAGCACTAGAAGGTACAAAACAACAAGAAATTTCCTATTTAAGCACATTCAGATACCCTCTACACAAACAATTACTGGTAACTTTTTCTATTAATCTGAAGTACTCTGTGGAGTTATTGCCCTTTGCATAAATGATAATACTTTTGCTCTTTGTATTTGGTACTAATACAGAATACTTTTAATACTGCAGATGATCAACTTACATAAAGTGACTATATCAAAAGAGAGAATGAATATACCGGTATTTTAAAATCTTCAAATCTAAGTAAGG